ATCTAGTGCTAGAGAATTAACACAGAACAGTCAGAGTTAGGAGGAGAACCAGAAGAGGTGATGTCAGCAAAATCAGGGTAGAAAAGAAAGTCAGTGTCAAGTGCTTTAGTCCCGTGGGGGACTGAAGGTGCATTGGATTTGGCAGTGAGGTCAGCGATGGCCTTTGCCTGCTAGCATAGTTTCTGTGGAGATAAAGTAAGAATTGGAAGTCTGACTTCAATGGGTCAAAGAGAAAATGCAAAGTAAGAAAATGAAAAGTGTATTGATGTATCATGATGAGCTATCAGAAATACAGTAGAAATATATCACAGTATGAGGAGAAGAGGTGCATGATTGAGGGCTGAAATAAACCTTGGCATCTCCTTCAATTCAAATAGAAACTCTTAGGCTGGGAAGTTAGCTCACTTGGTTAGAGCATGGTGCTGACAACACCAAGGTCAAGGGTTCAGATCCCTGTACCGGCCAGCCACCCCACTGCATCCGCCCCAAAAATGACAAATAGCAATTCCTTATTTTAACATACGAGGAAGGTAAGACCCAAAAAGGTTTAGTAGTTTACATTATGGCAAAGCCAGTAAGTGGCAGATAGAACAGACATTATCTAGGACTTCTGATTCCACATCTACCTGTATATAAAAGGGGACTTCAAAAAGTCTATGGGAAAATGAAATTAAAAGATAAAAATTAGGGCCGGCCCGGTGGCGCACTGGATAGTGCGCCGCTTGGGAAGCGCGGCGGCGCTCCCGCCCGAGGGTTCGGATCCCACGTACAGACCGGTTCCCGCTCACTGGCTGAGCGAGGCGCGGGAGCAGCACCGAGGGTTGCGATCCCGTTGCCGGTCCCCGGTCCGGTACGGGGGCAACACTGAGGGTTGCGATCCGTTACCGGACACGGAAAAAGATAAAAGACAAAAAAAAAAAAAAAAAGATAAAAATTAAAAAATATAAAATTTATTTCTCAACAGAACCTCCATCAAGTTCAGTATACTTTCATAGGTGATGGTACTAGCCATTTAGTCCATCCCTAAAGAACTGAGGTCCTGGGGATTTAATTATGTCAATGCAGTCTTTTTTTACATTATTAAAAGAAAAATGGGTGGTGCCCTTTAAGGAATTTTTAAGATTAGGAAACAAAAAGAAGTCAGAAGGAGCCAAATCAGGACTGTAAGATGGATACCTAATGATTTCCCATCAAAACTCTAGCAAAATTGCCCTTGTTTAATGAGAGGAAAGAACAGGAGCACTGATGTGGTAGAAAAGGACTCCCTGCTGAAGCTTTCCCGGGAGTTTTTCTGCTAAAGTTTCGGTTAACTTTCTCCACTCATAATCAGATGTTATCATTCCAGGCCCTCCAGCAAGTCCACAAGCAAAATGCCTTGAGCATCCAAATAACTGTTGCCATGACTTTTGCTCTTAATCACTCTGCTTTTGTTTTGACTGGACCACTTCTGCCTCTCGATAGCTATTGCTTTGATTGTGCGTTGTCTTCAGGATTCTGTTGGTAAAGCCATGTTTCAGCTCCTGTTGCAGTTCTTCATAGAAATGCTTCAGGATCTTGATCCCACTTGTTTAAAATTTCCATTGAAAGCTTTGTTCTTGTCTGCAGCTAATATGGGCGCAGCAGTTTTGGCTCCCATTGAGCAGAACTCAATGTAAGTTTTGCTCAACTGTAATTTTTCACTCAGAATTGTGTGAGCTGAACCAGCTGAGATGTCTATGGTGTTGGCTATTGTTTCTGTTTTTTTGTTGGTCCTCTTCAATTTGGGCATTAACAAGACTAATTTTTTCCTTGCAAATTGATGTGGATTTTCCTCTGCAGACTTCATCCTGAACATTGTCTTGTCCCTTTTAAAATGAGTTATCCACTTGAAAACTGCTGATTTCTTTAGACCCTTGTCCCCATAAGCTTTCTGTAAAGCATCAGTGATGTCATCGTTTGTCCACCCAGTTTCACTATAAATTTGATGTTTGTTCTTGCTTCAGATTTAGCAGAATTCATGCTTGTATGAATTTATTTTGGTGCAAAAAAGATGTTGCAATCCATGCACACATAGGTTTTTCGAAATACACATTTTTTGTGAACTTTTAAAGACCCCTTGTATGGGCAAACTTTTAAACCCAAAGGGAGGAAAAAAATTTGTTAATGGTTTCTTTTGGCATTTGAATTTATTCTTAGCTATTAAAAGGGAATTAGTTATGATTGTGCTACAGTGTATTTATCTACTTATCCAATATGTTGTATATGCAAAAATGTGTTGATAAAAGCTACCGGCTGGATCTGGAACAAAATGCGAAATTCAGTCATATTGTAAATGTGCAAAACTACATCAATGTAAGTATTTATAACAAATTCAGGGAGAAACTTTATGATACTGTAGTTTTTGGTTGGGGGAATCTTTAATATTTTAAAATAGTGTTATAAAAGTATGTGTTGGGGGCCGGCCCCATGGCGCACTCAGGAGAGTGCAGCGCTGGGAGCACAGCAACGCTCCCGCCGCGGGTTCGGATCCTATATAGGAATGGCCCGTGCGCTCACTGGCTGAGCGCGGTGCGGGTGACACCACACCAAGGTTTGCGATCCCCTTACAGGTCACGAAAAGGACAAAAAAAAAAAGTATGTGTTGAATTAGAAATGTTAAGTACTGAATCTTAAGATAACTTATTTATGGGAGGTACATTTTATCTTTGAGCAGATATGTGAAAATAAAATATTTACAACATGTATTTTTGAGTATCATACCAGAATATAACTTTGTTTTTGGTATAAGAGCACCACCTATGGGTTTCTCATGTGTTTGGAAATTTTTTCTTAAAATCTAATAAAACAAAAGCCTAATAAAATTCTTTCTAGTTTTCCCCTATAATTAGTAAATTCATTCATTTAGAGCTTAACAGATTTCTACTTTGTCATAAATTACTTCTACCTCATTTTCAGCCATATCTCACTGTTGTTAAATCAGCTAATAAGTATTTGAGTACTGATGTGTCAGTATTATACTTCTAAGTTAAATGTAATTTAACTCAAAATTGTATTATTCTCTTTAATGTAGATGAGTCTTTTAATGAAAATGAACAATTTTCTGTATTTTGGGTAAGGGGTGTAATGATTGTTCTTGCCTGTTTATTTGTATCTTCATGAACTTAAGAATTCCTTCAGTATACTACTCCAGAATGCTTTGGTAAGAGATAATAAAAAATGTCCTATAAATGACTTAGAATGCTTTGGTAAGAGATAATAAAAAAGAATGTCTTATAAATGGGTAATGTCTTATTAAATTATCGTGATGGTAACTCAGAGCAAAGTGGAAGCAAAACTCTGGCACGTTATTATTAATGAGCTTTTAAAATAGAATTACATTTGGATAAATTTAGTCTTTTTATAAAACATCATTAAAATCAAAAAAATTTTTTGTAAGGAAATTTACTCTTAATGAAACAGCAATAGCAAAAAAATTGTAAGATTTGACTGTGCTGGGGCAATGGGATGAATGCTAAGCCTCTGATGTGTGATATCTGTCTGTTCTGTGCCATGAATCTCCATACTTCTGAAAGTGATTTGAAACCAGATTCCTTTGACAATATATCCTATTTCCAGGAAAAACCCATTTTAGGCATGAACTTTTTTTTTGCAGTAGAATATACTTTTAAAGCATTGATTATATGTTTTCTTCAAGGAATGGGCTATTATGTAGACAAAGGATTCACTTTAAGCAATATAGCTTGCTTTATTTTATTCTTTTGTTTTGGGGGGGGTTTTCTGGCACCTGACCAGTATGGTGATTGAACTCTGAACCTTGGTGTTATTACCAACACATTCTAACCAACTGAGGTAGGCCAGCCCAACTTGCTTTATTTTAATCATTTTGGATAAAGTTCTTTAAATTTTATAGTATATTTGCTAGTATCCTTAACCTAAATTGAATAGACTATGACCTTTGTTACCAAAAAACAAAAGTAATTTTTCCAAATTCCAGTTGTAATGGGGATATTTGGTTATCTACAAATTAGGTTACCTGATTTTTAAACTAACAGCAGAACTCAAAAAGCGTAGGAGTTCAGGCCATAGGTTGTACCAGGCACTTGGCTCACACTGATTCATTTCGTCACTCAACAACTCTTTTGGATAGGTATGAATATTAATTAATTTGTTAATTATTATGATATAATACAAGTCTTACCTTTTGGAAGACAAGCAATTATGTAAATATCCTGAGTTCTTATGGTTTTTTAGTTCAGTATTAGTATTTATTTCTAAAGATTGCCACATCACTTGTGATAACTGTCATTGTACCCCTGGTACCAGTGAACTTTAGGTAATTTATAATAAAGAAATCAAATTTAAAAGATGAGTTTTGAAAAAAGATGGTTGGATGGAGTGATCTCCAGGTTTAAAGCTAGCAATCCCAGCCTGGCCCGGTGGCGCACTCAGTAGAGTGCGGCGCTCCTGGTCCGCTCACTGGTTGAGCGCAGTGTGGGTGCGACACCGAGGGTTGCGATCCCATTACCAGTCATGAAAAAAGACAAAAAGAAAAAAAAAAAGCTAGCAATCCTAACTCTTGAACTGTTATTTAGTCCAATTTGGAAACTTGCTTGCAGGCCTAAGACATGTACTTAATTAGGATAAGGTACTTTGTCTAAAAAGGAGGGAATTAAAATGTCTCATTAGAATAATAGAAGCTTTTTTTTTTTTTCCTGACCGGTAAGGGGATTGCAACCCTTGGCACGGTGTGGTCTGCACCACACTCAGCCAGTGAGCGCACCAGCCATCCCTATATAGGATCCGAACCAGCGCCTAGGCGCTACCGGCGCCGCACTCTCCAGAGTGAGGGACGGGGCCTGCCCAGAATAATAGAAGCTTTTTAAGGTTGATAATACCACATCTTATTGTATATGATTTGATATTTCAAGTTTTGGGGTTTTTTAAAATAATAAACACTGATTTACTTAATGGTGTGTTTTAAAGTATAATAATTAGCTAAGATTGCTTTGGCCATCTTCCAGCTTGTGGAGAGACTCCAGAACAAATTCGAGCACCAAGGGGTATAATCACGAGCCCAGGCTGGCCTTCTGAAAATCCTGCCAAAATCAACTCTAGCTGGTTCATAAGGGCAAACCCAGGGGAAATCATTACTATAAGGTAATTCTGATACCTTTATGTATTATTACATATATAATATTTTATTACAAAATATAAATTCAATTCCCAAATATCATTACTTAACATGCAGTAATATAGAAAGAAGATTGTTTAGATATAATAAAGTATAGCTGTATCATTTTAGAATAATGGCACATCTGGCTTATATTTTGAATATTTTCTAATGGTGGTAATGTATTTGTAGTGAGCCATCTAAATTCTTCTAAGCTAATTTTTAATGAAAAATACACATTTTCAACATAGCTTATTAGGATCAAGAGTAATCTTTTGCAGTGGGATAAACAAAACTTAGTAATTCACTAGAGATCTAGTCTTCTACCTAAATCAGTTAAAACGTGATTGTAGGTGCATGTCTGTGTATACATACATATGTATGAAACTTGTAAGAAGCTACTAATGGATAAATATTTTATCTAGAAAAAATCTTTCTTTTTTTGACTTTGAAACAAAAGGACATTTGTTAAGAAAACAGAGTGAAAGGCATTCCTAGGGAGAATAACCATAAGTATTAGTCTAAGAATAAATATGATATAAATAAGGAAGGTTAAGATTAATTTTAAAAACATTTACTGAATATTTGCAGAGAAAAACAGTGTGGGAACAAGATACTAAGGAGCAAATACTGAGTAGAAGAATTAGATATTGCCTGCTCAAGGAAATTATATCAAGATTATTAGAGAGAAAACTACCTAAAAGGGTAAACAAACAAACAAAAACCTGTGTGCCTGAACAAAGAACTGCACTTGGAACTGAAACACAAATAAGAATGCCATTCACATCATAGAGATGGTGTTCTGCTACAGCACAAAGGCACCTTCGACATCCTTTCATGTGCAACATTTTTATGGATAGGAATGACGAAATTTTAGAATTTGGAGGGACTTTGCAGATCATAGACTCATACCTTCATTTTACATTTTTTTAAAAAAGCCTTGTAAATTTAGCATACTTTCTCATACTTTTCCATCTTCCTTTTTTATATTTATTAACTAATGAGAGAACCAGTCTCTCTTGAGAGACAGAACTGTCACCCATTCCCTTTTTTCTGTGGAAATCATAAACAGGGGTCATATAGGAGGGTACTTTAAAAGGTTCATGGAAAGATTCTTACTATCTTTTAATTCCATTTTTCCATGAAACTTTTGAAGTACCCTCATCGTTTGTTTTCCTTTTAGTTCTTTCTGCCCCAGGTTACATCTTCTGGAACCCTGGAGCTTGGTGCATGTAAAAGCTGTTTTCACTCCTCTAAAAAGTGTGATTATCTTGTCTGATTGATTGGTAGTATGTACCAGTAAGGCTATCTTTGCTATAGTACCAGTGTTGGAATCTGAACAATATGCCTATTTTCTGTTACTTGTAATATGACTAAGTATAAATGTGTTTACAAAGTAACATTTTTACCAAATATTGGATTTTTTCACTGTAGAACTAGAATTTATAGAGATTTTTATCTTTTAATCTAAAAATTAAACTTGCAGCTTACCAACTCAGTTATATAAAACTTGGAAATTCTTGCCAACACAGAAGAGATTACATAGAATACTACCATCTGGTTTAGCTCATGTGTTGGATCCTTGAGATTTCACAAAATAAGATACATCAAAGACCAAGCACAAGGGCCGGCCCAGTGGCGCACTCGGTAGAGTGCGGCGCTCGGGAGCGCGCCGGCACTCTTGCCGAGGGTTCGGATCCCATATAGAGACCGGTCTGCTCACTGGTTGAGCACAGTGCGGACGCGACACCGAGGGTTGCGATCCCGTTGCCGGTCGCAGTACGGGCGCGACACCGAGGGTTGCGATCCCATTACAGGTCACGAAAAAAGACAAAAAGAAAAAAAAAAAAAGAACCAAGCACAATACTGAAATGCAGAATAAAATTAGAGGTTAGCCCTATATCTGAAGAGGGATTTTCTAAATTCTGGAAGAAGTTAATGAATTTGAATTTGCACATATCAGGTTATTTTAGTAACTATCATAGTTCTTTACTGAAGTCATAATCCTGGTAATACCAAAACTTTAAAAAGACGATATGCAGGCCGGCCCGGTGGCGCACTGGATAGTGCGCCACTTGGGAAGCGCGGCAGTGCTCCCGCCCGAGGGTTCGGATCCCACATACAGACCGGTTCCCGCTCACTGGCTGAGCAAGGCGCGGGAGCAACGCCGAGGGTTGCGATCCCGTTGCCGGTCCCCGGTCCGGTACGGGGGCAACACTGAGGGTTGCGATCCGTTGCCGGACACGGAAAAAAGACAAAAAGACGGAAAAAAGACAAAAAGTCAAAAAAAAAAAAAAAAGACAATATGCATACATATGTACACAAAGACAGACAAGTTTCATGTGATTATTTATGTAAAATCTTAAATAAATGATTCAAAAGAATCATGTGCCATAGTCAAATGCAGCTCATTTAGACAGTATTAGGAAGTTTTAAGTTAAATTAGTTTACCATATTAATAAGTCAGAAGAAAAAGGGTATGATTATCTAGGATAGATAGATGCTTTAAAGCGTTTTGGTAAAAAGAAAATCAGATTCACTCTGGAATTTAAAATAAAATTAAAATTTTTAGTAAAATGGAATTAGAAACATGGTTTTAAAAAATCTAGATAGAAGAGGGAAACTAAAATTACGGAGAATAAACAAACGACACTAAGAGCTCTCTGTGTAAAACTGGCTGAAGATGGTGATATAAAGGCATTTCTCTACTTTGGAACCCACCAAAATCAACAAAGGCCACCTTATCCATAGGAGATAGGATTGCATCCTAGCACCTCTCTTGAATCCAAGGACTAGGATCAGGCTATTTTGTTCTGGAAAGGAGGCTGAAAAAACCTTCCACTAACCACTGCCTGAACTTATATGGGGGCTGAGAGCTTAGAGAGGTGAGAGGACATACCCTGACAGATATATAACTATGCCACCTACTGACTCTGTGAGAGGATCTGTAATACTCTGAACCACTATTTAAGACTGGTTCTGGAATGGAAACCCAGGTTGGGGAACATAGAGGTAAAAAGGGTTAAAAAAAAAAAAAGTGAGAACCAAAAAACCTTCTACAAAATAAGCCTGCAACCCAAAATTTCAGAATTATTGAAAAAATTTAATACTAAGAAGACAGCCCACAAAATCAAGTTGGAACACAAATTTAGACCAGACATTTTAAGTTTTATTATGCAAGAGATTCTTTCTTATCCATTTTTGTGCCATGGACACTTGGTAGTCTGGTGAAAAATGAATTCTCTTTCAAGATAATGTTTGTAAATTCATAAAATAAAATACATAGCATTACAAAGGAAGCCAATTATATTAAAGTACAGCTATCAGATATTTTTAAATATTTATGATATAGTAATATATGCTTATTTATTAATACAGTAACAAGATCAAGTGATAGTTCTAATAACTCCTGTAATTTCAAAGTAGTAATTCTGTTTTTTGTTGTTTTTTTTTAAATTTTATTTTGTCGATATACAATGTGGTTGATTATTGCGGCCCATTACCGAAACCTCTGATTTCTAATAGTGACAGAGTGGCAGGTACTTGTAAGTACTGTCATGGCTTGTTGTTAATATTTTAAATGAAAGAAATCCTAAATTTCAATTAGGGGTTAGTGAAAATAAAGTTGTAAATTGTTTCCACCCAACTTGAGAGAATAGAAACACAATACTCTTACTTGGCCTTTGTTAGGAAAAAGGTGTTTTAGTATTTGAATTAAAATATGTAAAGGTAACTACTAAAAAAAATAGAAATAACAATCTGATGCATCTCATAGAAGAAAAGAAACTTTTTAAAAATATATTAATTCAAAAAATAGGAAAGGAGGAAAATGTGAATTCCCCAAATAGGAAGGCTATAAAAACACACAAATAGACTCAAACCTTTAAAAGGCAGATTATCCCATTGGGTTTATTGGTTGGTTTGTATAATCCCACTATAGAGGGCTTATAAGAACATACCTAAAACAAAACTAATACAGAAATTCTAAAAAATTTGGATAAAATTTTGGTGGATAAAGATTAGCCTCAGGGATACTAATCAAGAGAAGCTAGTGTAGGAGGATTAACATCAGATATAATTGAGCTTAAGGCACAAAAGACTAGTAACAAATGGGATAATCTACTAGGAAGATACAATAGTGGTGAATTTTGTGTACCTAAAAACATAGCCTAAAATACATGCAAAGCAAAATGTGGAGAATTACCAAGCAAGTTTGACTAATCCACAATTAGAGTGGAAGATTTTTAACACACCTTTAATGTTCATATCTATTTCAACAGACAATACACATTCCTTTAAGATATGTGGAACATTTATAGAAAATTGTTAAGTCACAAAGGAATTCTTTAATACATTGTAAAGACTCTATGTCATTCAGATTGTGTTTTCTTATCACAATGCAATTAAAATAAAGGGAAAAAAATAACAAAACCTATACATTTGGAAACATATTCCCAAATAACTCCTAAATTAAAGAAGAAATCGCAGTGGGACTAGGTTTTTTTTTTTTTTTTTTGACCGGTAAGGGGATGCAACCCTTGGCATGGTGTCGCCCGCCATCCACATATAGGATCCAAACCCCCGGCGGGAGCGCCGC